AAAAGAAAGCATAGAGAAAGACAATTTCAAGAGGCTCGATTCAATTAACTATGGAAATCCTTTCAATTGAATGGTATGCATCTATTAAAAATAATTTTGTAATTGAATATTTAATGATATGGGAAGATATGTTAAGTTAAAAAAAACCATGGAAGACTGTGATCCCACTCTGGTTTAAAAAAAGTGTGTGTACGTGTGTGTGCGTGTGTGTGTGGGTGTGTGTGTACCAATAAAGGCTCCTACATTATACACCAATAACAGTAACAGTTATTATCTCTAGTTGGTTTGTTTCTACATAATTTTTGTTTTTCTTTTTCTATTTTCTAAGTTTTCCACATGAATCTATATTACTTTTGCAAGGAAAAAGGTTACTAAAAGGAAGTACACAATGTGCAGTGAACTAAAATCTTGAAAACATGAAGACATACTCTGGACAATGAGAAGAAATCCCTTAGGCTTGTTTACAAAGTAAAAGATCCAATACACAGATGTGCTCATTAGCTTCCCAGACACTCCCTGAATTCACATGGTTTTCTGTCACAAGCCCATGTGAAACTTAGTATTTAGCTATGGGCACCAAAAAAGATGATCAATATAAGATAAACTTGGGAATCCCCCAAAATATAGGAAATATTTCTTATTATTCCTTTTATTAAAGCCAGAAATTAACCTGTTTTGACAACCTTAATGAACCTCAAAAGTGATTTAGATGAAGGAAGGTGCTCTGGAAAGATTTAAGTAATGTAACACTGTCTTTGAAAAGTCTTCAAAAAATATATTATTAGGCAATAATTAGACCAGTTTCCTATAATTGTACAATGTATTTTTGACTATGATATGTAAAATCTGATCATTTTAATAATCTTTAAAGGGGCATAATGGTATAAGAAAATCCTAGATGAAAAGTTCAGTAAGCACTACTTTCCACAGACCAGTATCTAAGAAATACACAATCAATGTCTCTGTTCTCTGTCTCCTCTGTGTAGCATGTTAGCGTACAACTTACCACCGTGCATCCTCCCCATGCTACAGTCCCCTCAACAAAGCAAAACAAAACAAAGATTCTTCTTGACTTCTTTACTGTCATGTCGTCAAAGCATTTGTCATAGCATTTTCATTTCATTAGTCACTTACATGAGAGACCTCCAAGTTCACATTCTTATTAGCTCCTGCCTGGCTTATTTTAATAGACTCCGAATTTTTCTCCCCATTTCTAATCTATCCCCAACTTGAATCCAAAGAGCATTAGCCCACCAGCCAGCTTAAATACCACTTTAATCATATTACAATTTACTGTAAAAATCTTAGATTAACTCTTATCCTATGAGCAGTGGAAAGAAAACTCATTATAAAGGCCAAAGTCTTTATCTTCTGCTTCTGTTCAATGTGAACTCTCTCCGCAATCAGGCTGATCTCACCAACTTCTATTGATGACTCGCTCAAGCTGTTCTCCCATCCTGGCTTCCTTGTCAATACAAATTCATCCTCCCAGCATGCTCAACTGAAAGCTAATAAGGTTCTCAGTAACTATTACGGCTGTAAATAAATCCTTTATCTTCAGAATTTCATCAACACTCACATATTGTCTGACTCATTGATTAGGCACTAAATCATACTGTCTCCTACTGTCAAGCAGTTATACATCTAGGATCTAAATTATTTAAGTTGAGGTAATTCCCTTATGTCCCTTTATATTTGGTGTACTTCTTACAGCCCTACCAGTTAGAAATCTGGTAAATCCTCAACATTTGGTGAACAATGAATGAGTTGCATCTTACACTTGTGTACAAAGCCAAATATATTTATAATTAGCTATGTACCTCTAAGGCTTTTCTTTAACAAAATTAATTATTATTTTACATAAGTTCATGCATTGGGAGTTCCCAAGACCACCCCCAGGTTCAGTAATCCATTAGGAGGACTCACGGGACTCAGCACATAGTTGTATTCATGTCTAAGATTTATTACAGCGAAAGGATACAAAGCAGAATCAGCAAAGGGAAAAGGTGCATGGTGCAAAGTCCTGAGAAACCAAATGCAAGCTTCTAAGAGTATTCTCCCAGTGGAGTCACCGAGAACGCACTTTCTCCAGCACCAAACTCTGACAACACATGTTGTCTACCAACACAGAGACATAGCGCCTAATTTTTTTTTTTTTTAAGGGCTGATCACATAGGCACCCTCTGCCTGGCACAGACCAAAATTCCAGACTCCCAGACAGTATTTAGCACAAATCACCCGGTTTGTAGTGTGTTTTCAGGGTGGCACGGGGGGCCATTTTAAAGTTTTATATCAGTATAGGGAGCTATTGACTATTTGAGTTTCCAGATGCCAGCACAAACATGGTAAGCAGGTCTTTCTAAGGAAAGTAGTCTTGGGCCTGCTATGTTAAATCTTTTCTATGTAGTTAATTTCATATTTTTATGGGAGAAATATTACAATTAACTATATTTGATTTATAAGAGGCACAAAAATGATTTTTTTTAAAGTACTAAAATCTAGCATTTAATTAGAGATGCACTGCCCAGACTGGCACCCAAGAATTAAAAGTTACACAATTTTTAAATAATTCACGTCCTTTAGGTATTTCAGGTTTTCTTTCTTTTTTCTTTGCATAATGAGGTCTCCCCCCCAAACCAAAACTTCCGGAGTTGTCAGGATAAAGGAACTAAGTATAACATCTAAAGGAAGTAAATACTTTTGGACAACAAGCTCCTTGTCTTCTCTCTGAATGACAACTGAGTACCAGAGCACTGGGGTAGCTGTTTCAGGTACATCATCTTATTAAATCCTCACAAGGATTAGTAATGGTTTCTATTTTATAGATAGAAGCTTTGAGAGTCTAAGTAACCCAGTCAGGTTTACCATGGCAAGCAAGGATTTAGGCTCAGATATACCTCATTCCAAACCCTTGCTCTTAGCTTTATACCAACTACTTCTACCTAATAAGCACTGGCTCCTTATTATGAATCATTTCTCTCTAAACTATATTATGTATACATTTTTTTTGTTTGGTTATAAAGAGCACTATTTTTAACCTTACTGACTTTGATTAAAGTAAAAATTTAGTTGGAAGAGAACAGGGTAAGTTTAACCCAGGATATTCTGCTTTTTGCTTTCCAACTCTTGAAAATCATAAATCAAATTATGCCCATTGCTTATGTTCTCTTTTATTTTGTATCAATCTGTAAGACAGACCTGGTATCAAAATCTTGGCATTTCACTTACCAAATGTGGGGATCTTGTGAAAGTTATGCTTTCTGAGTTTCAGTTTATTCATCCATACAATGGGCATCCCTATCTCATTTAATTCTGTAAGAATTAAATAAGATATTTAAAGGGCCCCACCTATCTATACCTGCAGAACAAATGATTGCCCCAACACCTGAATCACTTACTGAGAAGCAAGCCAAGTCAATGACCTTAGGGAGAAAGGAGGTGGTAGGGAAGTACCCTGACCACCAGGTGTCACCACTGGCCCAGAGAGCTCGTCAAAGTGCCAGAAGTCCCGGTTGGGACCCTGCAGCAAAACACGGTAAGGATGAGTAAGGCTGTCACTTGCACCTTCAGGACATTCAAGAATTGGCTTTGGCATTTCAACACCTTAACAGTTGGTACAATATTGCTGCATCATTCTAAGTTACACTGCTCTCTTACCTGTGTTAAAAATGATGGTAATAGATACACTTCAGTAGTTGACTGTTTTTAAACTAGTACATTGCTATAGTTCTGAATTATTAATGCATACTGAATGTATCTAAAAGGAATGGACGAAATCAAGCACTAATTATGAACTCAAAAAAAAATGACCATAATATAATTAATTAGCTGAATAGCCACAGATTTGTCGACACAGTTTAATTTTAAAAACTATGCTCCCTGACCGATTTTAATTTTGAGAATCAATAGTGTTTCTTACATCTTTGGCTTCAGCCAACTAGACATCACAATTTCTGGCTTCCATAGGCTTCAGTAATGCCCCCGTGGGCAAATCTCTGGCCCCAATTCCACAATCCGTTCACATTATTTCCTTTACATTATTAATAAGGATGACAGAAAAAAAAATGAAAAGCAGAATATTTTTAGGTTAAAAATAAAAGTAAGTTTAGGCAAAA